CCTTCATTTCCACCCCCCAGATTTTTCTTCTCCAGGCTCCTTAACTTCAAATGCTTCAGCAGGCCACCTGCCTTCCTGGGCATGGCCACATAATCCCTGGACCTTGACTGACTCATGTTTTAGGACCAGAGGGCAAGTGGACTGTAAGTCTGACCTGGGCAGTCCCCAGGGGCCCCACCAGCCCTGCAGTCCGTGGCCCTGGATTCCTCTTAGACCCATCATGGGACCAAAAGGCCCCACATGTGCCTTCCTGAGCACCAGTCAGGTGGGCCAGCAGGGCTAAACCAGGGAAAGATACCTGAGAGTGTTGGCCTCCCATGAGGGATCCACTGAGGCCAGGGCTAGAACTCCAGACCCACCAGTGGGGATTCCAGTCCTAGGGGAGAGTCTGGACCTATAAGCAGGCTGAACCTAGTTCTCAGACACAGATGGCCCCAGCTCAGCTCCTGCCCTGGCCCCACGCTGAGCGTCATCCTGGCCTTCTAGCCCCAGTTCCTCCTTAGACTGAGCCCCTACCCTATGGAGCTAAAGCCCAAATACAGTAGTATCACAAGGACACCTTCTGTTGGGGTAGCACTTTGCTTGTTGGGGGTTAGCCTAGGTCTGAGCTTCCTGTTCCTTCAGTCTTGTGTAGTTGACCTTTAATATCCATGAGTTCTGTGCCCACACACTCAACCAAATGTGAATGGAAAGTTTAGTTAGACTTACAATGGTTGTGTCTGTTCTGAACAAGTACAGGATTTCCCCTTGTCATTAGTCCCTAAAAAATACATATAACAACTATTTACATTGTATTTACATTGCATCAGGAATTTTAAGTAATCTAGAGATGATTTAAAGTATGGGGGATGGTTTAAAGTATGTGTATACTATACCATTTTATATAGGGGACTTGAGTATCCACAAATTTTAGTATCTGCAAGGGTCTTGGACCCAGAGATGACTGCACTTTTAGTTTGGCATTCAAGTACAGCTAGCAAGAGGCACCATCACTCCCCAAAGTACCCTGATGGCTCTGATCCTGTAATCTAGGACCCCTAACCGAGGCAGGGCCCTGCTGGGACATGGAGCTCATGCCTCTGCCTCCAGGTCACTGTCCCAGCTCATCCTAACTTACTGGCACCTTATGCTATGCCATATGATGAGGTGTGGGCCTTCTTTGGACTCACTTCCCCAGCTGCACTGTATGAAGTTCAACAAGATGGTCTCTGAGTTGGGTGTGGTGGTGCACACCAGTGGCTCGGGAGGCTGAGGCAGGAGGATCCTAAGTTCAAAGCCAGACTCAGCAAACGCTAGGAGCTAAGCAACTCAATGAGACCCTGTCTCTAAATAAAAAATACCCCCCCCCCAAAAAAATAGGTCTGGGGATGTGGCTCAGTGGTTGAGTGCCCCTGAATTCAATCCCTGGTTACTTCCCCCCGAAAAAGATGGTCTCTGAGCTTAGAGATTAATGCCAAGATTCCATGGGCTCACCTGAGATGCCAGGATTTTAAAGTCCTTTGTCCTAGAGCCTGTGGCTCTTCAAGCTCCAAGACAAGCTAGCTTACATTTGTCTGTGGCCTCCATCACTCACTATGGAGCCACCAGATGCTCCCAGACTCTCAGGGAAGTTCTTGAAGTAGCTTGGAAGTCAGAGTCAGCTGGAGGAGGAACTGGCCCAACTGACCAACAGTAAATAAAAATTAGGCTCCTTCATAACCTGAGGAGTGCAGGAGTAGGAAATGTGCAGGCTGTGGCTCTAGGCACCTGCTGGGGCCACAGTAGGCAGGTGGCCTCCTCCCATTGAAAGTAGAATATCCTTCAGGCAACAAGTTGGAAAATCTCTTTATCAAGAAACCATTTCTGAGAGTAGAAGGGCTGATCTGGGATGAGCCTTTCAGGGATTCCTCTATGGGCTGGGATATGCAGCCCAGGGATGAACTCTGTCCCCAGCCCTAGCGGGAGTTCATTGATACTGGAGAGGGCTGGGGCCATCATCCTGACATCAGTAATCTGGCGCTCCTTTTGCCCTTCCCGCCTGGGCATGGCCAGGGAAATGGAAACTTTTCCTTTGCCCCCCTCCCCACATCGGTGTCCAGTTTTCCTCCTGGAATTTCCTGAAGCCTAGGAACCTGACCTTTTCTATCTCTTATGTGGCTCAGATTCTATGACTCAGTTTGTTTAGAACCCCATTGCCAGCCTACTTATCCTCAACAGTCTTATTTACCTTCTTTCACCTCCTTTCATGGGCTGTGATTATCCTGACCCCAGCCAGGCCTCTGCCCCCAGCACTCGGCCCTCCCTGCTGCCTATCTTGTCTAGATCTGCTCTCCTGGGATGGCTACCTGAGATCCCTTGAATGGTACTGAGCAGGGGACACTCAGTTCGCTGGGCTGCTGCCTCCAATCCTGGCGCACCACTTCTCACGGAGGCACAATTTACAGAAGAGTGAATATAATATGAATACTGCCCTGGGGCTTGTGCAACCATGTCTCTGGTCACTGCCCTGCTGGGCGCTCTGATAGTTGGCATTGGAAATGAGTAGGGTGGGATAGCTGGTGGTGCGGAAAGAGAAGTGTCACCTGTCTTGCTGGACTGAAGGACTAACTACCCTGGCAAAGAGGGATGGGGATTTGAGCTGGTCCCAGAGGGAAGTGCAGAAGCCCACCTGATGGGTCTCTTTTATAGGCCTTTAGGGGTGGGCCTGGGTCTCTTCGAACAGGGCATAGTGGCTCCAATTTCCAGGAGGAATAAAAGGTCCATGAAGGGGCAGCCGTAGCCCTGATTACACAGGTAATGGCGACAGGACCCCAGCAGCATCCAAGTCTCCAGATCAAGCGAAACTTCTTTCCCCGCCTCCCGGTCCCGCGCATCCCCTGCAGTTCCTTGGGGGACTCGAAAGATGGCAACGTAGAGCAGTGCGACCGTAGAGCAGGCAGAGTGGCGAAGCCCCTGCAGCTTCTAGGCTGGGGTGGGGGCTCGGGGCCGCGAGCCTAGACTCTGACGTCGTGGGCGGGACCGGCGGCCGTGACGCGAGGGGCGGGGCTAAGTACCTTCCCGGCCCGGCCGGCAATTCATTCAAAAGGCGCGCAGGCTGCGCGGCCGCCCGTGAGCTCCCCGAGCCGGGCCCGGGCATCAAGTCCGACCCGGATCCGAGCTGGAGCTGCCGCGGCCAGGTAAGGGGGAGTGCGGGGCCCGCAACCAGGGTCCGCGTCCAGGCCAGTGGGTTGCGCCCCTGCCTCCCTGCGTCTCCGAGGAAGTTCGCCGGCGTGGCGGATGCAGCAATCCAAGCTAGCGGCCCGCCGCCCGGGGTCCTGTCCCGGCACCTTCGGCACACAGATCGCTCCGGCCTCTGAGCCCCCGGCCCCGGACTGCGTGTCCTCTGGCTGCGATTCGGGGCCCGGCCCTGCGCAGTGTCTGTCAGAAGGTGCGCCGGAGGGAAGCAGCGTAACTTGCCGTGTGAGGGACCAGCGGGGCCCGGGAAACTTGGACCTAGACCAGGGCAGAGTGCGGGACAGGACAGCGGCGTCTCAGTGCCACTGCGGCGGGCGGGTTGTTGGTGGGGGGGGCTCTGAACGGTGTCAGCCCGTGACTGTGGGTGACACGGCGCATGAGGCGGCCTGTCCCGGGTGAACGTGTGGCCGGCATACTGGGCGGTGACGCCGAGCCCAGCGGGCGACACAGAGGGGTTCTGTGTAACTGAGACAGGCAGAGACAGAGAGAGAAAGGGATGGGAAAGACCCTGGGTCACCGGGGTCACTGTGTGTAGCCTGCAGTGTGAGCAGAGCAGGGCCAAGAGCACTGGTTGATGAGTGGGGAGAAACCCCAAGTGACAGAACTAACCCTGGATTACTAGGGCCATAGCTACGCAGGGTCAAGTAGTGTGTGTGTGTGTGTGTGTGTGTGTGTGTGCTCGCATGCCCGCGCCTGGTGCCTGCCTTAGGACAATGAGTAAGAGGCAGAAAGAGGAGGGACCTCAGACACCTCTCAGCAAATGGGGGACCAAGAAGTTGGGTCTTTCCTTGAGGTGGGGGGGGGCACCTCTCAGGAGTCTGAGCGACATGCCCTGGCAGCAGGAGAGGGGGCCAGGGTTGGGGTTGGCACTTTTGGCAGCATTTGAGGGGGCCTGAGGTAGGCTCAGTTTCCACTTCACATACACATACAGTATCTCTCACACTCACACATTGAAGTCCCATGCCTCATAGAGCTCTGCCCTTGGAAAACTGTATTCTGTAAGGTCTCAGCTTCAGTCTTGCTCTCAGACCTGCCCCTGCTGGGCCTCAGTCTCCCCTGTCTACACACTGAGGTGTCAGGCTGTAAATGGACTGTGAATCATCACTTTGGGATCCTCTATTGTTTTTGGGTCAACTGCCTCTGTTCTCCCTTCCCTCCCTTCAGGCAGGGGCTTGAGGGCAGGCTTCTTCTGGGGACACAGTGGTCCAGGGGCTGTACCCAGGTGTTGGTGAGAGGGTTGGAAGCACAGCCTGTCCAAAACTGGTCAAGGAGACTTCAGACTCTCACTGAAAGGCTGCCTGGTCCAATGTCTCGATATGAACCCATGGATCCTGAAATCCTGACCCAATAGACATTCTTTACTCAGGTCTCCTTTCTTCAACTCCCTGGTTGGAGGAAGAGGGGGCACAGATTTGTTCCCCCAAATTAGTCTCTAGTCTGGGGGGAGACTAAGTTCTTTCTGGAGAGCTGGAACAGAGCCCCTTCACCATCTGGGCAAGTCCTCTCTGAGCCCCCTACTCCCACAAGAGGGTCTGAAGGGTTCATCCAGGGTAGTTGGAAATTTGTCTCCCTGGCCCAGAAGGTGGTGGTGATTAGAGTGCAGCACCTGTTATAGGTAGGATCTGGAAGTTCTGTCTTCTGCTGCCATCCTCTAAAGATGTTTATTTTGTTGAAATGTTGCAAATATGAAGGGGCATGGTGCTAGGCTCTGTTTTAAACTTTATAGTGTACTGTCACATTAAATCCTCACAGCGGTTCTGAGATCTGGTGATTATTTCAGAGAAAGAAACTGAGGCTCCAAGAAGCAAAATGGCTTGCCCTCAGTCACACAGAATCAGGACAGTGGTTGAAGTGGAATTCAGGACCTCTGACCTTATGAGGTGCTTGGCCTCACAGGGTCACACCACCTTTCTGCTCATGCCTTACCTGGATTGTAGGCATGGCCTTCCAGGGTGTTCCCTTTTGTTCTGAGTGTAATGTGTGTGTACACACATGTCTGGAACATCGGATTTCAGGTAGGTTATATGGCCTTCCTCTTCCTCTTCCTCCCTCAGCCCTCACTCTCAGCCAGATGTCACTAGAAAGGCCTGTCTTCTGACTTCTAGAGCTGCACCTGGGTTTGGAAATGTCCACCTGGTTTTGAAGAGTATCTGGAGTTAGCATTGCAGCTTAGGGGTGGCAGAGGTAATTGACCTTCACCATACCTGAGAGGCCCCCATCCCCATCATTGTTGTTGCTCTAGGCATGTTCCTTACACTTCCCTTCTGCTGTGAGAGGGAACAGACTGAGTGACCTTGAACTGGTGCCCTGCCCTCTGTGGGCCTTTCTCCCCATTCTTCCCAGATGCCCCTTCTAGTTCTGACCACTGCCATTGCTTGGCCTAGAGCTAGGTCTGGGCATCAGGGTGTCCTTTGGTCTTCTCTGGAATGACTGGAGCTCTGTTTCTTGGGGCTGATGAAAATAGCTGTCTTGGTCTCCAGGGGCTGAGCCCGAGTTATTTCCATCCCCAGCAAAGAGGTGGAAATAGCTCAGGGGCCTAGAAGGGAAGAGAGAGGAGAACCATTCTTCATCCCAGCCTCAGTGGAGGCCCCCCAGCTCCATCCTGTGCCCTGCCCAAGCCAGACCTTTCTGGGAACTTGGGATGACAGAGGGGCCAGGTTGGGTTTCCACTTGTAACCCCGGTTGGGACTAGTGTGTTAGTTTCTGAGGAAGCTGCTGTGTCTGGCCAAGCATGGGAAACACTGAGGAGCAGCAGCATCCCCTCTGCTCATAGGGTAGGAGTCAGAGCCAGCAGGCCCAGCCCTGTTTTACAAAGGGAGAGACTGAGGTTCTGAGAATTTCAGGGACTTACCCAAGGCCCCTAAACCTTGCTGTTCTGGCTTTCCCGTTCCACACAGGGTACTCGCGTTCTGCTCTACCACTTGTTCCCAGGCCAGCTGGACACCAGCCAGCACGCGAAGCAGTCCTAAAACACACCTTCACAAAACTGGGCTGCTCTTACACTCTGGCTCTGGTCCTGCCCTCTAGGCCCAGACTCTTGTCCCCAGCTTGTCTGCCTCCATTTCCAGTCCTTCCATACTGCCAGAGTGACCTCCCTAAAGTGACTCTTGTCTTTTGCATGCAAAATAAAGTCTAAATGCCTCATCCTGGTCTTGAGGCCTTTCCTTCTAAGATCTCTTAACTTTGCATCTTCACCCATATTCCTCCCTACCAGATGTGCCTCAGGTCGGCGCTGCTTTTGCTTTTATTGTCCCTCTTTCTAGAACTCTCACAATCATTTAGGGTTCAGCCCACCTTACCCAGGAAGCTTCTGAGCCCAGCCTCCGTCTGTCTTCATTGTTAGATCCACCTTCTAGTCATTCCCCTTGCCTTTGGGTAATAGGCCCAGGTGTGGGGCACCTATAGGCACTGCTCACCCAGCTCTGTGGCTGGCCTCACCAGCAGACTGCCCCCTCCCACTACCATGTCTATGCTGGCGAGGTCTCTCCTGAGGAAGGGCAGCCACTTAAGATCCCAGCCCCTGGGTGCCTGGATACATGGCAGTGTTTGTATCTGTGGTCTCTGAGGCTCACCATGGCCTGAGGTAATACTAGGGGTTAGGGCCCAAAACTCAAGGCCACTCTGTGGGTCTGGGACAAGTTTGGTGCTAACCATGGCCCTCTTCAGACAAGGCCCTCATTCTAGGCCAGTAGAGGAAACTGTCCCCGTTGATGTCCTGTTGTGTGGGCCCTGGGCTCAGCATCTCCCACAGTGGCACTGGTGGGGGCCCCTCCTTCCTGAGTTGTTTTGGGGGAGCTGAGACTCAGAGCAGGGGGGAGCAGTCCTAGCTTGAGTCATACAGTTTTTATCCTCCCTGTTAGGGTTAGGGTTAGGGTTAGGGTTAGTCTAACACACCAGCTCTTGCCTAACTTCTGGCCTGGTCTCCAGGCAAGGGACAAGGGTTTGGGGCTTGTCTGATAATTCCGGCATGAGCTTCCAGATAAGGACCAGGCTGGCCTACCCAAAGCAGGAGTAGGAAATGTTGGTGGGGCTCTCAGCACCTAGCAAGGGGAGGCCTGTTATGGAGCTAGCCTTCTCCAAGTGGGTAGGAGAATGGAGCAAAAAGGGAGAGATTTTGCCTAAGATCATCCAGGAGAACCCATCCACCCCCCTCCCCAACTATAGATTGATGGGTCCTGGGATGTGGTCTCTGGGTAGATCTAGCACCCACAGTGCACGGTGCTCCTGTGTATGTAGGCAGAGGCTTGGTGTTTCTGGGTAGGACTAGGCTAACAGAGAGAGAGGAACCAGTGCTGTGTCCCTGCTCTGTGCCCAGTCCTGCCATCAAGGCTCCCAGACTGTCCCATCTCTGCCTCATGCTGAGTGTCAATCCTCGAGGCACAAGCATGGAAACCGAGGCTCAGAGGAGTAGAAACCCTTGCAAGACCCTATTGTTGCTGGGATCCAAAACCAGGTCTGTCAGTCTTGAAGGCCAGAGTTCTTTCCTGGGCCACCCTGGGAAAGATGAGAGCTCTATAAATAAACTGCTCGTGTGGCTGTGAGTGTCCCTGGCTAGCTGGCATAGACGGAGGGGATGGAGGGGCCTCTACAGCCAGTTAGAGGCAGGGTCTGAGCATGGTGGAGAGGGAAGGGAGAAGGGTTTCTAGAAGGAGGGACTAAGCTTGGCCAAGCAAATACTGTGAGAAGGAACAGTGAGAGCAAGGGGGACCTGCAGTGTGCCCAGCCTCCCATGTGCACTGCTTACCTCCTTCGGAGAGCCTCCCCACTTTAGCAGGAGTTAAAGGAGACTGAGAACGGATAGCCGAGAGGCCCTCCCAACAAGGAGCTTCCTGCAGGAGAAGGCACCTGGACTTAGGCCTGATTATAAGAATCACCATTTGCCTGTGAATTCTGGGTCCCCCGCCACACAGCGAGGCTAGCTGAATAGGCACAATTGCCCGAAATTACAGAGGAGAAACTGAGACTTGGGCAGGTAGGTGGGCATACTGACTGCTCACTGCACCTCCACCTTCCTGACAATGGTGTCAGCTGGTAAAGCAGGTGGGCGCAGGCCTGGATAGCTGGGAAATGGGCACCCGGGGTCCTCTCAATGAGACCACGGTGCCACCACCCATGCTGCTGGGATTTATATTGGGTTCCCCAATGCACCCTTGTTGCACCCAAGTTTTTTTGGATGACCTTGGCTGTTTCTGAGCCTGGGTTCCTTCTCTGGCCTTCAAGAGAACTGGTAATTTCCAAACAGCACTAAACAGTGGCTCTGCTTATTCCCTCAGCATCCCATGAGGCAGGGACTGGCACCTCTGTTTGCAGAGGAGGACCCCAAAGTTCAGAGAGGTAAGTGACCTGCCAAGGTCACAGATCCACTAATCAAGACCGCCAGAGCTTCAGCCCAGTTGGAATGTTCCAGAGACCAGCCTCACGCCCTCCTAACTCCATTCTCACGCACACTCTCACTGTAGGCTCTGTTGGGTAGGGCCTTAGGGGGAGCCTCTATCTCTAACACCCTGAGCCTGGGGGAATTGGATAACAGGTCAGGAGGGGTGTGGTCTCCCCTCAGCCTCTCCCAAAGCCTCTGCCCAAGTCAGCTAGGTTGGGAATGGGAAGGGCCCATGCTGAGCACAGTGGAGAAGCTTGGGCATAGTGATTCAGTACCAAGCATATGACCAGGGTGGGAGGTCAAGGCAACTTCTTGGAGGAAGAGGTAGCAGTAATGTAAGTGGGGGCTGCAGGGAGTGTCCTCCAGTCCCTCCTGGGTCCCTTGCTGTCCTGTTTTGGAGTGAGAGGGGAGGTATTCTAGAGCTGGCCCATGGTACCAAGAGGTTGATGGCAAACTAGAAACAGGCCACGTGGGGGCAGTGGGGATGCCAGGTCTGGGAGACACTGGCAAAGGCTGCCTGCTGCCCACCCCTACTCCAGGGTAGGCAAGCCCTATCTTTTTTGAGACTGGGTTATTAAGGCTACTTCTTAGCCTCTCTGAGCCTCAGTTTCCACATGGAACCCTGTCTCTGAGGGGTTCATTGGGACCCAACCTAGAGAGGCTATGAGGCATGTGGTGGGCACTTAGAGAGAGGGCTCTTGGGGAGCCCCAGCTCTGCCCCAGAGATGACGGTCTGGCCTCAGACACCCCTTCCCCTAGTCCTAGTCTCAGGCAGGAAGGAGGGAAGAGATTGCATCTGTACCTTCCCAGACTGGGAGGAGCTGGGTGGGCCCGATCTGGCTGCCTCAGCCCTTTCCTAAGCCTCAAGGAGCCAATTAGCCCCCTCAGCTCCACCTGCCCACCTCACCACCTGATCTGCTGAAGTGCAGACCCAGGGGCAATGGGAGGTCTGAGGGGCAGAACCCTGCCCAGCTCCTGGTAAGGTAGCAGCAGCTGCTGCCTGGCAGTGTAGGGGTGCAGGATTAGGAGTCCAGCGCTGGAGAGGTACTCACTCAATGGTGGTGCCCTGGAGATCCTGGCTACCTGAGGCTGGGAGAGGGCTGGGTCGAGGGGCACCCTTCTCACTGAGGAGTCCTGTGCTGACCTCTGCACATCTGGGCCCCCAGTTCAAGAACTGGGTCTACACTCCGGGACCTTTTCCTCCCTCTGGGAATTCCCAGACTTCCCCAGCCTTCCTACTTCTTACAGTTTCCAGTGCCCTTTTCTTTCAGAGTTGGCAGATTGGGACAATACACAAATGAATATGAGCACAGGCAAATCCCGAAGGCCCCTGAGACTGCCACACGGGGATAGTAACTACTCTGGGGCCTGCCTGGCTCTTTGTACTAGACCTTCAGTTGAGCCACCTACTGTGTTCCTGCTTCCCTAGACTCTGCCATCAGATTGGCAAAGACTCAGAACATCCACCTGCCAGGCTCTGGGCTAAACCTCAGGGTGGGGGAGGCAGAAATGAGGCAGTCCAGGGCTCCATCCCTGCTTCAGTCACACACTGGTTGTGTGACCTCCAAGTGACCTCTCTGACCTCCAGCTGTAAAACAGAAATGCTCACTTCTGCTGTGAGGAGTAGAGGTGACCCAGAGCCAGGGCCAGTCCCAGCTTGGGGCCAGTCCCCCTCTCCTGTAGGGGAGGAGGGCAGCAGGCAGTTCCTTGCTGCCCTCAGCACCGCCCAATGTGGGCACTGCCCTACTTCAGCCCCAGTTGCCAGGGAACCACTGGGTCCCTTGCTAACCTGGATTTTTCTATTGATGGGTAGCCTTTGTCTTCCTGCCTGGTGCGGCCACCACTGAGGGAGGCCCATGTCCAGCTGTGTTTCTAGGCAACCCTTGGCAACCCTCTCCTCTGGAGGCTGGAGGGAGGTCTGTAGGCCTCGGAGCATGGGCTGGGAAACAGGGCCCGCCTTCCTCCGACCCTGCTCCTGGTGGGCACCTGTTCGTACCCACATCTCCCTCGCTTGAAAGGTAGCCCAGTGCACCTGGCAAGACACAAATTGTTCCGTGCCTGTCCCTCCCCTGCTTAACCCTCCAAGGTTCCCATAGCTCCTGGGAAAAGTGCAGGCTTCTCAGTTGCAGCTGAGGCTGGTGTGACCTGGGCACTGCCCATCTGTCTTCCCAGCCTCCTCTCCTTTCCCACACCCTCCCCTCCCCAGAGGCTCCATGTAGCTGCTCAGGCACCTCCTATGTACCTGGCTGTGTGCCAAGCATTGAACATAAATGTAAAAGGAGAATCTCAGTGTGCTCACACGGGCGTGGCAAGCATGTGCCCCTTCCCCCTCCACAGAGGGAAACTGAGGCACGGTGAGTAGTGAGTGCTTGTGGAGGGTGTACTCTGTGCCAGTCCAGCACTGAGAAATTAGTGTGAATCCTCTCATTTCACTCCTGACAGTCCTCTGCAGGCATCCACAGCCACAAAGCCAGTGAAGAGCAGAGCAGGACAACACACTCCACCATGTGGCCCCAGGTGGTCCTGGAGCTTCAGATGCAGGTTCATACCCGCTCCTCTTAGTCCGGCCTCAGCTGTCCTGCCTGCCCTGCAGCCTTCAGGGCCCTCACTACCCCAGCAGGGCCTTGCGCCTTCTACTGAGAGTAGAAGTACTTTTCTGCCTCCCATCCTGAGTGCAGCGCAGACTTACCCAGTGTGGCACTGGGCATGGAAGACGGCTGGTGGCAGGGACGGGGCTGGGTAAACAGGGTGGTTAATGCCGGAGGGGAGGTGGTGGTTGGGGGAGGCTTCCAGGAGGAAATGACTTTGAGCTAAGCTCTGAAGGAAGAGTAGGTATTGGCCAAGTGATGGGAGGGGTTTCTGGGCAGAGGAAATGGCAGGTAACTGTGTCTTGTGTGTCTTGGGAAGAAGGTCGAAGTGGCTGGAGCATGCGGATGTGTAAGGGTTGGCAGGGGTGCGTCAGGACGCCATTCTGAGGGTGGCGGGAGCTGGCGCATAGGGCCAGGCTCCATGACGGAACATCTAGGCTGCTGGGTGAGGGGGCCAAAGGGTCAGGCTGAGGCCCAGGGAGACTGGGGAGTGTACCAGAGGGGAGGGCCCAGCTGGGGAACAGAGGGGTGTGACCCATTGGCTTCAGTTCTGGGAAAGGGGAAGCTGCCACAGCTTCCTCTTTCTCTGAGGCCTCCAGGCTGCTCCTCTCTGGGGCTCTGCTACCTCCAGCCTCTCTGCAGTCTGGGGCCCTGTCATGGCGATGCGGGCTGGCTTTTATCCAGGGAATTTCTGGTTCTAATTGTTGGGGCATTTTTCTGGAGGGTCGGGGAGGAGGAAACCTTTCTGACCTGAGCCTGTGTGTTAGAGGCCTCCTGCTTCTAGCCTGGGGCTGGGTACTGGGCTTTGTGGTGAATAAAGCAGACATCTGTGCCCTCCTGCTGTCTGGCGGGGGTGCAGGCAAGTAAGCAGCCGAGACCAACGACAAACCTGCACGGGGTGGGGGAGGGGCGGCTGGAAGGAAACCGCGTGACCCACTTTAGGGCAGATTACCTCACAGGTCTCCTGACAGCTTTCCCATGGGAGATAAACATGCCCATCTTGCAGATGAAGAGACTGAGCCCTGAGAAGTGAGGGGCTTAGGTCCCATAAGGGGTTGGTGGCAGTAGGGACAGGCCCCAGGCTAGGAGACTTGGGGGAAGAGTGGCTTCTGAGCTAACTTCCTTCTCTGCTAAAACCCTTGGGTCTCCTCTTCCCCTGCCCAGTATGGCTGGGGGGTTCTCTCTCAGGCACATGGAGCTGGAGAGAGGGCTCCGGGGACCTTCCCTGACCTCCCTGGGCCTCAGTCTCCCCATCTCTGACAGCTGTGCTTCAGGAAGCCCTCAGGAGATGCTGGAACTTCATGGCCTTCTGGATAAAGCAGAGTGGTAGGGATGAGGCCTTCACGGACCCCCTCCCAGCCTCCCAGCCTCCCAGCGGTGGGGCTTCTCTCTGAACTTGCTCTCTGGTCATGGTTCCAGGGCTCTGTGCTGGAGACCTGGGGTGGAGGTTGGGGCCCCTGAGCAGCAGGTGTGCACACGTGTGCATAAGGGCTTTTCTGCCTGACCAGGCAGGTCCAGCTGGGACTCAGACTGGGCTGAGTGTGGGGGCCAGGGCAGCCAGACTGGAGTAAGTGCCGGGTTGGGGTAATTAGAGGGAGTGTAATTAGAAGGCACAAGGGCAGCAGGCGGCGGATGTCTGTGCATGTGCCTGAGTGGGCCCTCTCTGGCTTGGAGGCTGGGCCTCTGGACACTTGCTTTCCTCCTGGAAGTCTCCGCATTGCGCAGCTCCACGCCTTTCTGCAGATGAGCATCTGTACACTGGCTCCTCGCGCGCTCAGGTCACCCAGTGGGTGCCACTCAGGGTTGGGGGTGGCTCTGGGGCTCTCTACTCTGCAGTTATTTTGCTTCTTTCTTTTCATCCCCTGCCCCAGCCTTATAGGCCCATCTGGGGACATGAAGGTGCTGGGACTAGGGGCGGGCTGTGGGGACAGCCTGAGGACTTGGGCTTGTGATTAGGTCTGCGGGTTGATCCCTGGAAGGACGGGGAGGGGGTACGCGGAGATGGGATTGAGCGGGGAGTTTGGCAGAGCAGGGTAGGGGGAAGGGACGCTGTGAGGCAGACCCTGAAAGGAAGACATGTGACCAGATTTGAGGCGGGCAGGTCGGGAGATGAGTCAGGGGGCTCTGTCTGTTGAGTGTTGGCTGCCAGATTCAGCCTTCACCTACCCTGTGGCCTGGGCTTCCTTGTCCCTGGTTTTCCCCTTACCTGGCCTAGGGCCAAGAGTGGCTGGCTGCCAGTGACCTGGAGAGTCCCAAGGATGATGTGACCACTCCCCTCCCCCTCCCCTGGGTGTAACACAAACCCCTGTCCCTGCGAGGTCTGTGCCTGGCCAGGTCAGGCGGGTGGATCAGTTTCCTGGGCTCCTTTTCCAGGCGGGAAGCCCGGGCTGCCTACAGGGAGAGGGTCTTCCGTGTGACCTGGAACTTGCCACAGGCAGTGTGTCTCCCGGAGGGTTGGCATCACATAGGTTGGGGCTCCTCTGCCTGCCAGTGCCCTAGGACAGTGGCTGGGCTCTCTAAGTCCCATGAGCCATCCTTGGACCTCAGAGGCTGTACATGGCCTGTGTCCAGGTCCCATGAACACTGTTTCTATCACCTTTACAACCCTGAAAGCAGGCCTCTGGGGCACACCCTGGAGCTTCCTCATTCAGCAACAGTCCCTTCGGTTGTGTAATTTGAATCCTGAATCCTGTTGTTCCAACTTGTCCACTGGCTGGGGGCTTCTCCAGAGGCAGCCGCAGTCTGGCCAGGGGGCTGGGCAGCACCACTGACGTTGCTTTGTTTTGTTTTTTGGCACTTCCCACTGACTGGCAGGGGAACCACTCTCTCAATCTCTGCAGTATGGGGTCCCTGGGGATGGGGATCCTTGAGGACAGGGTCCTATTTCCCTGGTGAGGGCAGTGGCTGGCCCATGGGGGAGAGAGGAAGAGAGGCTGAACTCTGCTGCCATGGCCACCTACCCCTTCAGGTCCCCTGCAGCAGCCAGGCAGGCAGAGATGTAAGTAGACATGTCCTGGCCCTCCCTAGGGACACGTGGACAGTGACCATGAGACGGTTCCAGGCCTGTGATGGAGTGAGGCACAGGAGTTATAGGAGCCAGACTCAGCTTTGGGGAAAACTTCTAGAGAAGCTTCCAGAAAGAAAAGTGTTTGAAAGGTGGGGACAGGGCCTTCCTTAGAGCAGAACCAGTGAGAGTGGAGGCAGAGGAACGTGAGGCAGGAGGCCGTGGGCCTGTGGGCTGCGGTTGGCAGGAGCCTGGAAGCTGCAGAGGAGAGCAGAGGCCGAGGCTGAGGGCTGCAGCCTTCTCTGCCTGGCGTGGCCTCCCCACGCTTCCTTCCTCCTGTGCTCCCCTGCGATGCCGCAGGGCACCTGGCTGTTTATGGAAGGGGAAGGAAGCCCTTCCTCCTCTGGGAAGCCTCCCCAGCCTGCAGGGCCCTCTGTTCTTCCAGTGAGGCTGGCCCTGCCCGGTGCAGCCCACCTCTGCTCAGACTGGACCTGGGCGGGGATCTAGGGCACCCTCCCAACTCCTTGTGAAAGCCTGTCATTCTGAAGTGCCTGGGGGGATAGCAGCTGCCTTTCTATCCCGGCTGGCCCCTGAGTCTTCCCTCCATCTACCCTAGGCCAGAGATCACCGCAGGGCCTGATGATGAAGCTGAGCGGACTGTGCTGGCCCCTGTCCTGCCTCCTCGTGGTGAGTGGGACGGGCTGGGGAGGAGCTCCAGGGAGGAGGGAGTGAGCCTGCTCAGGAACCCCATGCTGGGACGAGGCTTGAATATTCAGCTCTTCCTGGGAAGCATTTGGGGCTGTCCAACCCCAGGTAGCCTATCCTGACCCACCCTGGCATGAAATGGTGACCCAGGAGGGAAGGCCATGGCTTCCCCTACCCAGGCAGAAGACACTGCTTTCGCAGACCATGCCTACCCAGGCTGCAGGGGGCAGGGGGAGGAGAAGGAAGGACTTGCATTTGTAGGCAAGGCCCGGTGGCTAAGGGCAGGTGCCTGTCAGCAGCCGGTGTGGGAATAGTGGCCAGTAGTGGGAACCTGAGGAAATTGGGCCAAAGACGCCTGGGATTTGGGGCACCTCAGATGCTGGAGTTGAGATCTGTGTTGGAAATGAGAGAATCCAGCCAGACTTGGCCCCAGACAGGTCTTGGCGTCTGGTTTGGAGTCGTCTTTCTTTCTGAGCCTGGAATTCCTGAGTGTGATACCTGGCCTCAAGCAGGTGCCGGAGCCAGGTCTGGAGCCTGAGGAGATCCCCAGAGCCTCTGTGACATTTTGCCTCCAAGGGAGCTGGCACTGCTCTATGCCTCGTACCCCCAAATCAGTGTTGGACTAAAATGAAGGACATGGTCTCCCCACAGCAGGAGTTGAGGCCAGATGGTTCACACCTGAAAGTGGGAAGCAGTGGGAGCTCCCCGTGGGAGGCGCTGGGACACCCTTCCTTTGAATGTGCCATCCTCTGTTTGGGTGCCTGGGTGAATGGAGTGGCCTTGCCACAGGGGGAGGTCACAGAGGAAGATGTGGTCTCAGAGACTCAGCCCAGGGCCCAGAATAGTAAGCACCAGCTGCAAACTTGGCTCCAGGAATGATAAACAGAGGCAGGCTAATGACATGTCCAGCTGTGATTGGGGGGCAGGGGTTGCAGCAGGAAGAGGGACAGAAACAGAGAGGAATTCGGAAGCATTTCCTCCTCATTGGTCTTGTTAGCTGGAAGGGGTGTAATTCAGAGATCCAAGGGCTTGAGGTCCTGATCCCCTGTCTGGGGCTTTCCAGAACTTTCCCGAAGCAGATGTGATTTTTCTCCCTACTCAGGCACTGGTAATGAAGCAGGTCTGGGACAGGGCAGGTTTTCCTTGCAGTGTGAGGGATCAAGGTTAGAAGAGTGTCCATGAAGCCTGGGTGGGATGGCGATCTCCACTCCTATGGGCTCAGATGACCCTAGAGACCCCGTGCCCAGTACTCTCTCCTTCCCTCCCTCAATATGCTCCTGTTTGCTTTGCTTCCAGCTGCTGCCCTGGCCTCTGGCCACTGCAACACCAACGACCCCTTGGCAGTGCCCACCTGGGGAGGAGCCCGATCTGGTGAGCATTGAGCTGCACATCTGCCCTGTCCTGGGAAGACATCTTAGGGCAAGGGGCGGGGTCCCAGGCCTGGCTTCCCCAGGGACCTCAGGCCTGACTCCTGGCCTCCTTCTCACCCTTTGTTTCCTACAGGACCAGGGTCAGGGCACATTATGCAGGTCCTGCCCCCCAGGCACCTTCTCCATCTCCTGGGGCTCCAGCCCATGCCAGCCTCATGACCGCTGCAGCCTTCGAAGGAGGCTGGAGGTCCGGGCTGGCACTGCAACCCAGGATACACTATGTGGAGGCTGCCAGCCTGGGTGAGCAAGGGGTGGATGGTGGGAGCTCATGCCTAAGAGGCCAGGACTATGGATCCTGGAGTTCCAGCCTATTTCCACCCTACATAGACCTTAGTCTTCCCATCTGTGAAATGGGATGGAACAAGACCATTGAGGGTGACTGATAGGAAGGAATCCAGCCTACGGACAGTTTTTGGGGAAACTTCTGGACCTCAGTGATATCTCTCCCTGCAGGTGGATTGGGCCTCGGGGGGTTCCCCACATTCCATGTCAACCATGTTCCTGGGCATCTCTGAACACTCCTGGCTGTAATGGTGAGTGGCAGATTGGAGGTGTGTGAGGAATGGGTGCAGGAGCTTGAGCCCAGGAGCCCCAGATTGTCCATGTGGGGCACTGGGGTCCTCTCAGCCCCTGGGAGGACAGCCAGCCAGGGGGAGCCCAGCAGAATGTGGCCAGTCACCTCCCTTTACTTCTGAGTGGCAGAAACCATACAGTGGGTGGAGGCCACAATTAGGGGCTTAGGAGGTTCACATCCTGACCAGTCTCCCATACCTGTCCTCTCCATGAGACCCTGCAAGTGAATGTGAGCACTGGTGTGTCCACACACATAAACACATGGACACACCTCACACCGCTGAGCCAGTCACCCTCTCAGGTGACTCATTCACAGGGCCTGCCTTAGGGAGGCAGGATTCCGCGTCCCCGTGCCTAGGCATGTGCCACGTTGCTATCTGTTCACTCCTCACCCAGCATGAGGGGTGATGGGGGTGCCGGGGGGGCTGCCCATCCTGAGGCCCGAGGAAGCCTGTTTCAGGACCCCTGTTTGGCTGGCCAAAAACGGAAGAAAGGCAGGGTTGAGCTGGCCTTTGCCTCCCCAGTATGGCGGGGCGTGGGCTGCCCTGGACCATCAGTCCTCCCTCCACCCCACCCACACTAACTTGGGCCCTGGGCCTCTCTGCCTCTCTGTGTTTTCCTCTGCCTCCATCTTGTGCTCAGAGTGGGGGCGGCGGGCCCGACGTGGCGTGGAGGTGGCAGCGGGGTCCAGTGGCGGTGGTGAGACTCAGCAGCCGGGGAACGGCACGCGGGCTGGTGGCCCTGAGGAGACGGCTGCTCAGTATGCGGTCATTGCCATTGTGCCCATCTTCTGCCTCATGGGGCTCCTGGGCATCCTGGTGTGCAACCTGCTCAAGCGGAAGGGCTATCACTGCACGGCGCACAAGGAGGTCGGGCCCGGCCCTGGAGGTGGAGGCAGTGGTGAGGCCGGGCTTGGGGTCCAGGTGGGAGACAGGGAACTTGGGGGCCACCAGAGGGAACCTCCCTGGCCTTGAGGGCTCTGGCAAGGAGAGGCCTGTGGAGGGCCAACTGCGAGGGCCTCCTGGAGGTGGTGCGCGCCAGCCTCAGGGGAGACGCCTACAGAGGTGCTGCTGCTGGGAGGAAGGTGAGGGTCCAGGAACGGTGACAGGGGCAGAACCAGCAGAGCTGGTCAAGTGTGGTTTTTTGTTGAGCGGGGCCCAGCTGTGGAGGTCTGGATTCCTGGGGGGGGGCGGGGGCGGGTCTATAGGCTGTAATTGTGTGTGTGATTCCAGGGTCGATGACCTTTTAAGTACTCAAAGTGACCTTTGACCTCTGGCCTGTAGCTGGAGGAATGTCCAGTGGGAAGGGGGCAGTTGTCCTGGGCAGACACCACAAGGAGCTCAGGTTACAACTGCGGCTGTGGTTTGAATTACAAGTTCTGGAAAGAGGAAGAGGCACATTCTCCCACCCCTACCCCAGGGCCTGGGTCTCCTCTCTCCCCTATCTTAGGCCAATGCCTTCTGAAGGACAGGGGCACCACTTCCATATACGCCACCCTTGGGCCTCTGGCCAAGTCAAGAGTGAAATAGCACCTCCCATGCCAGTGTCCCAGACTGCCTGGGGCTGGCCAAAGCCCCTTCTAACTCCTGACACTAAAGTCTGGAGGGGGCGGGAAGGCAGGCAGGAAGGTGGCGACTGAGGGCCATTTTGCCTGGGACTACACTTGTTTTCCTAGCTTAGTGACTTCCTTTAACCTCTGGCTGCTGCCTAGGAACTTTCTTTGCTGCTGGGTTTGGGATTGATCATGTTGGCCCATTCCCACACCCTTGAGGTCTGGGCCCAAAGCTAACCAAGGACCTCAGTTAAACAGTGCCACGGACAGGGAGGTGTGCAGGAAGTAATGGGCCTGGAGGGGCAGAGTTTGTGGTAGATGTTGGGAGTTCTGGGCAAGAAGGATCCACTGCAGAGAGGCAGTGCGACCCAGAGAAGGCCAATACAGCCCCTCACCCGCATTCTGCAGAGATGTGCAGCTCAGATGGCCCCGAAATCTGAGTACCTGGGGCTGCTGGTACAGAAGGAGTGAATGTTCAGTAGTAACGGCGATGGTGGGCTACTTTGAGCCATAGCCGAGGCCCAGAGCCCGCAGGTGCACAGCCCTGGGATACTTCTGTCATCTACTGTCACCTTAACCAAGCTCGGCTCTGGCTTCAAGGCCCAGGGTGCCCTCTGCTGGCTGATCCTGGTGTAGCTTGGGTGTCCAGCTTCCTGGGATCAAGGTCTTTTTCTTCTCTTTCCCAGGGATCAACCCTGCCTATAGGACTGAGGATGCCAATGAGGACACCATTGGGGTCCTGGTGCGTCTGATCACAGAGAAGAAAGGTAAGGACACAGTCTGACCCATCCCGGTGCCCAGGAGAGGAGTGTCTCTTCCTGGAGCCTATGAGGCGGTGTAAGGTCACTGTACTGCCCTGCTCTGCCCTCCCCGCCTGGGTGCTTCAGACAGATGCCATGCTGCCCCGTGTCTCTGGTCTTGATTGATCAGGGGTGGAGGAAAAGGTGCAGAGCCCAGCTTGGGTATGCGTGGTGGGTAGGTAGGGGGCTCTGCTGGGGCTTGGGGGCTCCCCTTATGGTTGGAGCTGGGTTCTGACCATAGCTGCCCACAGAGAATGCGGCGGCCCTGGAGGAGCTGCTGAAAGAATACCACAGCAAACAGCTGGTGCAGACAAGCCACAGGCCTGTGCCCAGGTGAGGGGGGCAGGGCCTTCAGATAATCAGCCTGCCTCCTGGGGGCTACCGATTGGGTCTCTTCCCTCACATGCTGCCTCTACCCCTTCTCTACCTGCTTGGGTCTTCTGGCCCTAAGCCTGGGCTGCCCTGATGAGTGCTCCTACCCGTTCCCTTCTGTAGGCTGCCGCCGGCCTCCCCCAGTATGCCACATGTCTGCCCTCATCGCCACCACCTCCACACCGTGCAAGGCCTAGCTTCACTCTCTGGCCCCTGCTGCTCCCGTTGTAGCCAGAAGAAGTGGCCCGAGGTACTGCTGTCCCCTGAGGCTGCAGCTGCTACTACTCCTGCTCCCAGCCTTCTGTCCAACCCAGCCAGGGCTTCCAAGGCTGGGGCCAAGACAGGACGTCAGGGCGAGATCACCATCTTGTCTGTGGGCAGGTGAGGTTGGCACAGTTGCACCAGGGTGATGAGTGGAGGCAGGGTCCTAGATTAAACCCTGGGTACTCTGCTCAGTGGTGGCCCTACCCTTTGTGGGCCTCTCTAGTAGGGTGGGTGGCAGAGAGAAATCAGGATTTCCCAGCTGTGCAACATCTCACATGGAGCCCTTGGGTTCTCAGGGCATGTGTTGGCCCCTGTGGCATCTGGGGCCTCTGAGGCCAAGGGTGTCTACCTGCCACCTAGAGGTGGGGTGCTGGGCTAGGTACAAACAGCGGAGGGAAGCCTTATCTATGGAGGGCCTGGGAAGATGCTCAGGCACAGGTTTGACCCTGAAATCAAACTCTGCACCCAGAGTGTCACACCACCTCTTCTCCCAGGTTCCGTGTGGCTCGAATTCCTGAGCAGCGGACGAGTTCAGCAGCGTCTGAGGTGAAGACCATCACAGAGGCTGGGCCTTCGGGGGGTGATCTCCCTGACTCCCCACAACCTGGCCTCCTGCCAGAGCAGCAAGCACTGCTGGGAAGTGGTGGGAGCCATACGAAGTGGTTGAAGCCCCCAGCAGAGAACAAAGCTGAGGTGAGAGCTGGAGAAGGCTTGTGAGTACCTTGGGCTCCAGAACAGGGGCACAAGTGCAGGGTCCCTGGAAAAGAGCCATTCACCCAGAGCCCGGAAGCCCCTTGAATCAGCTTTGGCCTTTCATCCCTGTCTCCCAGGAGAACCGCTATGTGGTCCGGTTAAGTGAGAGCAACCTGGTTATCTGAGGGGCTGCCTACTCTGAGGACACTCAAACCTGCCTTGGGAGGTTCTGAAGGCTTCCTGGATGAGGAAGAGCTACAGCTGGGACTGTGAGGACCAAGAAGCGATGGCCCAGCAGGCAAAACAGCAAAGGCCAAGGCCTGGAGGTGGGACCGTCCGCCCCAGTGAGGAGGCAGGCAGTTGGCGGGCACTGTGTGCAGGAGCAGATTGAGAGCCTGGCCCCTGACCCTGCTGCCCCAGTTTCTCCCCTGCAGGATGCCCTAACCCTGTGCGTGCCCTGGCCACATCCTAGGAGCCGAGAGTTCTCTGTACCACCAGAGGTCTAGGCTTGGCAGAGAGGTGGCGCCTGTACTTGGTGCCCCAGTCCCACACTTTGGTGACTAGCTACCCTGCCCCTGTACAGGGCCCTAGAGCAAATGTGTTTCTTCCTCCTTTTCTAGCAGGTTCTGTAAAAGGAAGGGGCAATATAAAAGCCCTGGGCTGGGAGGCCAAGTTCCTGGGATCTAATCCTGGGCACATCCCTGGCCATCACTGGTCCCAGTTTATCTGTGAAATAGGAGAGAATCACGCCTCAGTGCCCAGGACCTCTCCAGCTCCTTGGAGGTTCTGGGATGGGTCCTGTGGAGGGGGTGCTTGACTCTGCCACCTCTCCCATTAGTAGCTTTATCTGGCCCATTTTTGCTGCTTCCGGGGCCTTTGCCTTCAAGGCCCCCATGGGGCTGCCCATCCACAGCTCTGCCTACAGAAGAGGTTTACTGCATGTGCCTGCCCTACTTCGCTGTTTTTAATGAAACTGAAAAATGACTTGACCTGGGCGAAGCTGAAGTGCAGAGCCCCAACCCACCCTGCCACCCCCCAGATCTCTGGAACTTCGGGGAGAGGACCACTGGCTGGGCTGAAGAGCACTTCTGGCATCAGTGGTTTCTGTGTCCCTGTGGTGCAGCATGTCTGCCCCCAGCCCTGGACAGCGCAGGTGACTGCTGGCCCAGCCCTGTCTGTCTCCACTCGGGCTCAGCCACCTCGTTATTTATGTGGGGCCGTGCAGGCGCAGGCCCACTGCCTGTCCCCGTTTCTCTTATTTATTAAAACTTGCTGTTGTCCTATCTTTGCATCTCCATCCCCATCCACTTGTCGAAGAATAAAAGGTGAGAAAGTGGTGTATGAGGACCTTCTTTTCCTTGTGCCCCTTCCCGAGGTCATCTGTCTGTTCAACACATACCTCCTCAGCCCTACTGTGTTGGGCTCCATGTGCTGGACAGGCGGTCCCTCCCCTCACAACACCTCAGCAGTTGGGGAATATGGGCCGGGGAGGCCCCTAACTTCACCTGGTTCCCACGAAGGCCCCTAGAGGGCTGTCCAACAGAAAAACAGTGTGAGCCACGTATGGGATTCAAATTTCTAATAACCATTCCAAAAAGTAAAAATAGGTGGATTTAATTTTAATAATTATCAATACTTTTAAACTCAGTATATCCAAAATATTTTCATTGCAATATAAAATCAATGTAAAAATTATGAATGAGGTTTTTTTTTTTGCTTTTCAGTGTGTTATATATTTTACACATCTTAATATGAACTAGCATATTTCAAGGGCTCAAGAGCCACATGAGGCAAATGATCATCCTATTGGACAGCACAGCGCTAAAGGAAGCAGCGGCGTGGAGCCTGGAGATGAATGGGGATGAGGGAGACACTGGGAGCTGGAGTGTGGAAAGGGGAGACAGTTCCATGGAGAGGGAACAGCACAAAGGCCAAATGAAAACTGGCCACCAAAACATGAAAGAGAGGAGCTTGACCCATTAGAGGAGCCTGACCCTCTTGGCCACAGTGTGCAGAGTGCAGGGTCAGTGGAAGCAGGGGTACCTTGAAGGAGCCTTTGCAGCTGTCCAGGCAAGAGATGATGGAGAGGAACAGCTGGAGCCAAGGGACTCCTAGGGCAGACCTGCGAGGGCTCCTTAAAGGGATGTGGGGCAAGGGATTAGGGCCAGCTGGGTGGGGCAAGAGCAGTCCTGGAGGCACCTATGACAGCCCTGACAGGTGTCCTAATGGCATCTGGACATGGAAGTCTGGAGCTTTAAAGAGACAGACCTGGTTGACAAGAATATCACATAGATGAACATTTATGCCAGGTCTGAGCTGGGACATGTCTCAGGGAAAGGGCCCAGAGCAGATCCTGGGACTGCTCCAGGGCCTGGCAGAGAAAGAACCAGCAGGCAGAAAATCAGGAGAGGACAGTGTCCTGGCAGCTGGGAGAGGGCAAGGGGGTGGAGAAGAGGATGGGCTACAAGGCCAGGTGCTGCTGATGGGCCAGGAGGACTGCTGCCTGAGTAGACATGGATTTAGAGGGAGTCCTCTCAGGGGAGCAGTGGAGCAAGGCCAGGTCCAAGTGGACTAAGAGAGACAGCTCCATGCAGAAGCCTGGCTGTGTCAGGCCATGGCTAGTGAGGCCTTAGGTTCTGGGACAGATTGTTTTTAGTCAAGTTGGGAATTCATTGGTGTTTGTTATTCTGTCAGAAGATGGGAAGAAGTAGCCAGGGACTGTGGCGCATGCCTGTAACCCCAGCTACTCGAGGTTAAGGCAGGATGATCAAAAGTTCAAGGCCAGCCTGGGCAACTTGGTGAGACCATCTCAAAATAAAAAGGGCTAAGGATGTAGCTCAGCGGTAGAACACTGCCCTCACATGCAAGAGGCTCTAGAGTCAATCCAATATCCCAGAGCAAAACAAAACAGAACGAAAGAGGATGACACAGTAAACACTACTGACCTACCCCTGGAGAGGCTAAGGAGCTAGAAAGAGACCCTGAATGGAACCAGGGAGGTGTGGAGAGGACCAGCCTGCATGAATTGGGCCTCTTGTGAAGCAGGCATAAATGACCAGGCTGGTGCTGCAGGAATCCTGGCTTCACAGAGGGCAGAGGCTTCTAGGCAGAAGCCAAGGCGGGGGCCTGGTGGCCTCAGACAAAAACTCCCACCCTCAACAAAATGGGCAGATATGCTTTGAGATTCCACTTCCCCTGGCTTCTCCCCAGCTACCAGGGCACAGGCTTCTCTCTGGGGCTTCTCAGTTGAGAAGGAAAGGGACGGGGTGCTCCTGAGGAAGCGGCAGACAAGGTTTCACCTGTACTAGGATAGGAAGGAAGGAGACAGGAATGATGGACAGCAGAAGGAAATTTTTTGGGGACAGCAAAGGTTGTCAATCACAATGTAGGGCAGGATAGATGACTAGCCGATGTAACCAGTGAACCAAAGGAAATGTTCCCTGGGGCTGCAGGGTGCACTTGGCATTTCTACTTGCCAGCTGTTCAGATTCTTGAACTTGATTGTCCCCTCAGCCAGCCAACTACCCCTTTTGACCTAGGGCTTGGGTAACACATGGCCCACTCTGGGGGTACGTGAGGATGAGAAAATGGACCCATTCTCCTGCTTTGGCTTCCTTCCCCAGGGGAAGGCTGCACTGTGGTCTTTTGATGTCCTTTCCCACCACAGGCATCTATAGATGCCAGCCAGGGTACAGACCGACACACCGTGTCCAGGCTCCCCAGGCTGTTAGGGACGCCCATATCACAGGGGAGTACTGTGCTCCCCTGCCCGCCCAGCCTCCTGCTTACTGAGAGGAGTGGCTTGTCTCTTGGGGTTGAGGGTAGTTCTTCAAGAGTGGGATGAAGAGCTAAGGGGTATGTAGGGGTGTGCCTGATGCTCCTGGGCTCCAGCTCCCACTTCCGGAAGTTTTCCTGGCTCCTCACTTCAAGTCCCTGCAACCCTCTTAGTTCTTTTTTTTTGGTACTAGGGATTGAACCCAGGGGCACTTAACCACTGAACCAATCCCCCGCCCTTTCTTTTTTTTTTTTTGAGAGCGCATTTCCCTAAGTTGCTGAGACTGGCCTCAAACTTGCATGCCTCCTGACTCACCTTCTCAAGTGGCTGGGATTACAAGTGTGCACCTCCTCCCCAGAATAGTGGAGGTTGGGGCCCAGGTCTCAACTTCCCTGCCTGATCCTGGCCTCAGCTCTGCCACTATGACCTGGAGAAGAGTGCCCAAGAAATCCCGTCCTGCCCTGGAGAATCTGAGTGCTGTGACACAGCAATACTAGTGGCCAGAGGTGCCTTCCCCAGCCACTGGTTTTCAAGCTAAGTCAAGGACAGAAAGGGACACTGGGGAGTGCCATGGGAGTGTGGGATGTTTGATGGAAAGCACTGGAGAGAACAAAGTCTGGTTGCCTCCCCCTCCCCACCCCAAAACTGAACCCAGGGCCTCGCATACTATTGAATGTTACACAGCTTATAATAAATAGCATAGACACAAATGCTTGGTTTTAGTCTAAGTGATCACTCTAATGGGCCTGTTTTTTTCCCTCCATTTGTAATGGTTGCATTCTTAGAGGTGTGGATGCTAGCATGTGGAGAATAAATTATCTTGATCAAGCCCTGGAAAGGCCCAGTGGTCCAGGGAGAGAAGCCTGGGCCTGCCCTAGGGCAGTATCATCACCCAGAAAGGGGAAAAGAGATTCAGATGTTTTGAAGGTAAAACTGACCTGATGACTGCTTGGATAGATCATGTGCACTCTGTCAACTGTCCTGTAGCTACAAACCACAAAGCCTTCTTGGTTCCCATCTGATAAATCCACCCTTTAAAAAGCTCCCTTCTGGGATGGGCAGGAGAATGTGAGCCTTGGTGTCTGTGTTCTGGAGCCAGACCCAGCATGAGTTCCAACTCCGCCCCTCACCAGCTCTGTAAGTGCATTTACCCTCCATGGCTTCCCCTTTTAAGACAGGGATAGGACTTGCCTCACCGTCAGCTGTGAAGACTGTGTAGAGTGGCAAGCACCAGCCACAGCTTTTTTGGCAAGGGCGGGTGCTGGGCATCAAACTCAGCCCTCATGCATGCTACGCACACTCCACTACAGAGCTACACCCCAGCCTTGCAGATGTCAGCAATTAATGGCCTCACCGAGCTCCAGTCACATAACTTATTCCAGGTGCTAAAGTCGCCACTGCACAGCTCCCTGTCAATTGAGAGTGGCTGAGGGCACTGTTGGGCCTGCTGTGCAGGCGTGCATTCCTTCACTGTGAATCACCTTGGGGAGAAGCCCAGGGAATTCACTGGCTGGGGGTGGGTTTTTGTGCCTCCCTCCCCCAAGAACCACTCAGTCTGGTCACCTAGGACTTTGTTTTTTTTTTTTTTTTTTGGAAACTTTTTTTTTTTAATAGTTATTGAATGTTCTACAGTTTACAGTAAATATCATAGTTACAAACTCTTGGCTTCAATCTTTCAGAATGATCACTATCTGATCTTCAAAACAAAACAAAACAAAACCCAAAGGAATCCAAAACAACGAAACAAAACCAGATTTACACTTCATACGCGCACAAGCGAGGCAGGTGGGCTTTCCAATCTTTACACTCCACGTTGTGTTTTGAAAACACCTATAACTCTTTGATCAAACTACTTGGAAGACACTGGTCAAAAGTTTATTGTTATTATTATTATTTTAAATGTTTTTATTTGTTTTTAAAATGTGAGTTCCAATAAAATTTAAAAATTAGATTCCAACCTGTAGATTAAAATGAATTAAAAAATACAAAATCATATACAACGCTCTCTTCACAGGGATTACATGCCATGAGAACAGGCTTCTCTGTCATGATATGAAAGGGATCCAGATGCCTTGAAGTCAGGAAGGGGACTGACACTGGTCCGGGCCTTTTAAGATCATCACAGACAACTCCAAGGTGCTAGGCATAGCCTTGCCTCCCCTTGGCTAAAGAGGAGCTTGAGCCACCACACAGATTTGGGCAACCTGGCTGACCCGAGGAGACCTCTGGGCCAGTCTCACTCTTTCCGTGACTCTCAGGCATGAGCGGTCGGAACCTGGAGGATGCTCATCTTGCTGGGGTCAGCCCAAAGCTGATTTCACCTATTTGATTTCCATGAGCTGGTACTTATCTGCCAAGCTGTTACCTCTGTTCTGTTCAGGAAGAAAAATTCCCCCTCTGGGGGCTGGAATGGGTAAAGGGACTGCCACAGCAAGGACACCTAGGGATTATCGGTGCAGCCACAGTGAAGCGGGGGCTGTTGTGTCCCTCCCTGGCCCTGTGGCGGCCAGTCTCATCTCCTGTGCTCCTTGGCTGGCTGCCGGGCTGGACTCAACAACACGCAAGA